TGGAAGGTGCGAGTGTTATAACGTAAATTGGGTCCCGCAGAATATGAGAGGTACTGCAACCTAATTTTACCCCAGAAACCACGTGACAAGTGTTTCGATGATACAATAAAGCTGCTGTGTGAACATTTTGGAGACCACTCCTCATTATTCAGCATACGTTATTGTTGACTCAAGCTGGCAATGAATGAAAATGATGATTTTCTTACTCACGTTGGCACAGTCAACCGAGAATGTGAGAGATTTCGACTCAGGTCCTTAACAGATGATCAATTCAAAGCCTTGATTCTCATATGCAGTCTTCAATCTCCTCGTTTCACAGATATCCGAACTCGACTGCTTAATCTCTCATCATCCAGTCCTGATGATGATGAGAGATTTTTGCTCTTTCGTAATGCATGAATATCAGAGCTTCTCGAAGGTGTTGATTCGACCAGGTGTGTGTCGAAACACTTGTCACGCGGTTTCTGGGGTAAAATTAGGTTGCAGTACCTCTCATATTCTGCGGGACCCAATTTACGTTATAACACTCGCACCTTCCAATCATCGTCTTGTGAGGCGAGATCAACAGTGAATAAATCCTCATATCGTTGATACCATGTGTCAAAAGTGACATTAGCCTCTGGGTCATAATTGAACTGTGAAATACTGCTCACAATTCCGTCGACAGATGGTAGCATGGTATGATTCGGATTGCTTGAAGGTGAAGTTGGACCAGTCTGTTGGTTGACGAACATTTCCATTAATTTCATTTGTCGTTCAAATAGTAATTCCAATTTAGAAGGATCCATAGTTTTCCCCGTCGCCAAATTATTGTTATGTACTGGTCGAGAATTTAATAGTCCTGACGCAAGAAAAGATGGATATCAGAAGACCACTAGGTTTGCGATGATACTTCTATTTTCCAAACACAAAGAGAATCAAAATGTCACACAAGAGTGTGAGAGCGAAAATATAAAAGAATGTCCGAACAAGTGTGTGAACACAAGTGTGAGCGAATATTCAAAATGAACAAATCAGTAGACAGTCTTAACATGATTGGCTAATTATGATGGAATATCGATCCATATATACATAGCAAAATATATCAGACTGTCAAACAAACACACATTATATGGGTACATATCACTGCTTTTGGTTTTGGCCAGGAATCTTCATCACCTAACTCTATCTTCTCTATGTTCACTTGAAGTCCTATCTTCTCTGGATGCTTCTTCTGCCAGCTTGTTGCTTTTGACTTGCATATCTTCCAGTTTGTGGGAAATCAGACATATATCATCGGCGAAGTCCAGATCCTCTAAATTTTTTATGTGAGTCCATTTTATGCCTGATTCCTCGCTGCCCCCTCTCTGTCACATTATCCAGTCTATCGCAATCAGGAAAATCATTGGCGATAGTAGGCAGCCAGGTTGTCATACTCCCGTCTGCAATTCGAAGGATTCCTTAAGTTTCCCGTTGTGGATTACTTGGCATGCGGCATTGTCGTACAGCTGTTGGATGAGAGTGTTTGACTAATATCGATGTTTATTGGGAATCACTTTCAAAAATCTGTTTAGAAGTCTTATCATATTATAGTAAACATTTGTTATTATATCGTAAAAAATTATGTTCTCTCATTTATTTTGTTTCTATGTTTGATTCGCCTTCTTTTCAGTCGGCAGTATATGATCCCAATGATCTGTGTAAAACTATTCGTCAACAGTGGGATCATCTTCCTCTCCCAATCGCTCATCTATGGAAGAAAAGGAGAAAGGTAATACTGTTAGGTTTATTATCATTATTTAGCGTATATGTATATTTGTGTTTGCATTTGTAGTTATATATGTATGTAGATTTTATTGTGGGTTGACTGTCCTTTTTGTACGTGATATGATTCTTGCTAGTTCCCCGAAGACCTTCACTAGTCCATATCAATTGGTCTCATCGATTTCAGCACAGAATGAGTTTATTTTTCATATTTTTTTTCTGTGGTTTGAAATTTCTGTAGCGATTGGATTGATTTCACTGGGTAGCGTCACTAGCCCCACGCCATACCTTCCCTCTTTGTCCTGAGCTTATGACTTGCTAATAAACTAAAGGCATTTCCGATAGCTTGGAAACTTTTATCAACAACTGTCTTATCTATCTCGATGCTGAAGATTGATCAGATGGTCAGAGAGGATTAACAACAAGCAACTCTGGGAACGAACCAGCTAAGAATCTATGAACTAACAAATATACCGAAGGAGATGGGGGTGGAATCGATACACGCTGAGGAAACCGTTGAGCAACTTTACGCCTCACGCCACCCTTTGAGTGGAACCCGAATGGGAAACAATGAGTTGAGCGTATGTTCTAGGGTGATATGGAGGAGATCGTATCAGGAGTAGATGAAGGCCTACAGGCAATAGTAAGAGACTACTAAAAAGGATTTCAGAGGACAGGATGAAATGTAGATGTGCCGTTGAAGCCCAGTGTACCAGTTGGGACCCAAGGGGAATAATATTATTTGTCTGTAGTTTATTCTAACTTTTGCGTAATTGAAAGGATAATGTAACGTGGTTTGTTCGAAGACTTTTTAATAGAACCTACCCGTTAGCGTCTTCAACTAAGGGATATGTTATTCATTGTGGAAAACTGCGCGTGTGTGGTTGATAGATAGTTTGTCAACCTTTCTGCAGATTTTTAACCGTAGTTTTAATTTTAGTTAGCCGATCACAGATTCATATTATGCTTATGTACTTGACTAAACGAATGAAGTAGTAGTCCAGTACCTGTCAAGTACTCCCAAGTTTTCTAATGGTTCTCTAACTGATGTCACTTTATGATGAAATCCTGGAACCAATCAAATCCCTGAAGACCAACATTTGGATGTCAATCTAACGCTTACTAGCGACTAGCCCTATTCAGGTAGGTAGTTACTTGAGTTCTAGTGGGAAGTCATGACCATTGGGTTACAGCAAGTCAGGTGTGAGGACAAATACTCAGCACCGATGACATAGACTAGTGCTAGTCGCTGTATATCGTAAATTAAAAGAGATTGGAATTCATGGTTTGTCCATTGGATTGGGTCCCAATCACTTAATGGTCTACAAGCTCACCTTGTAACTGGAGGGTCTTGGGTTCGAAGCCTGGCGGTGTGTGCGTACTAACGAAAAGCACCAAACTAGGAAGGAGATGACGTCTAGTGTTCTGAGGTTTTCCAATGGTCCACTAACCGATGTCAGTTCATGATGAAATCCTGAAGTAGTAGTTAATTATTCCAGATTTTTTCACATCACCCAACTTTTGCAACTCATTGTTTACTGTAGATTGTTTACAACTACGTATTTCACTAGATTGTGTTATTTATTGTAACTTCCCAACGTTTGACTCAACTATACAGCGTTAGAATGGTCGTCAACTACGCAAGTGGTTCGTGGTTCGACTCCTGGCAAATGCACTCCTTCGCCTAGCTAAGCCAGTGTTAAGACTGGCAAAGAGGGAAGGTTGGGCATGGGGCTAGCAACCCTATCCTGTAAAAACAAATGCCAACTCCAGCTTGAAGCTCTATGTTCCACTGGGAATATAAAGGAATAAAATGAAAGTACTGTTTCATCGCATAGTATAAGAAGTTTCAGGAAAGGATATCTTTATTTTGCTACAAGTTTTGTTCACGAATATAAGATCTAAACATTTGTGAAATTCCTCCTGTTTGAGACTCTTCAGGCACACACATCCAGGATCCTAGCCAGGACTTTCACTTTATGTTTCGAGCAGGTTTGTCAATCAAACCACTGGATTTCAAATCCACGAATTGTTAATCTTAATCCCGGACAGTTAAAAGTTGTATTTTCTTTTAAAGAGCGTCTTTTTCGAATATACTTGTGTATTTCTATTTTCTTTCATTTATACCGTAATTAGATTTTCATGAATTATGCCAAATACGTAAACACAGGGCATATACGCAAATGCATGCATATTTACATGTGTGTGTGTCTGTATGCTGTACACAACTATTTAGGATTCACAGTGTGAATTAATTTTATTCTTTAATGCGATACTAGTTGTGTAGGTTTAACAGAACTCGGTAGGTTATATGAGTAGGTAATTAATTAATTATATAATCAGATGTGTACTGCATACTCACTTACTCTTACTCAGTCACTCACCTACCCACCTATATAGTCAGGCAGACATAATTTACTATCACTATTTCTACATATATAGTAGAGCTTATAACGTAAATACCCACCCACCCCTCCCTCACACACATACACACATACTCACACACTTATATAAAATAATAGGAATGCAGAGAGTTTGCCAAGATTCATCCATCACATAACACTTACTACGTATACAATCCATATTAAAGTTGGAAGTGGATTTCATTTCGTTTATCAATCATTAAAAAGAATATAAAATCAGTAAATAAGATGATAGCACAGGGAAGGGAAAATGTTTGACAACTCTGTGCTACCGCTTGTAATAAATAAATATCCCAAATACATTGGACCAAGTTATTTGTGTTACTAATTTGGTCATGAGCTGAAGTCAGTTAGGGAACCAGTGGAAAACTGAAGAGTACTGGACAGCTGTTCCGTCATATCATTGTGAACTAACACTTGAAAAATCAATCTGATGCTTACTAGCAACTGCCTCTACACAGGAATTTACCTGAAGTTCTAGTGAGAAGTTGCGACCAGCAAGTGGTCCATCAAGTTAGGTAAGAGGACAGTTAATCACCAATGTTATCAGTGGTTGTTCTTTGTATATTGTGAACTGGCAGACCCCGGTATTCACGGGCCATCGAATTGGGTCCCAAGCTCGCCTACTAACCGGAAAGGCCTTGGTGGCTGAGTACTGTTGAAGAGTTCTCAAAGAGGGTGAAATAGTGGTTCTTTAAATAGTGGCAGCTAGCAATCAAACCTGTGCAACCAATCAAATCACATTTGGAGAAAGTTGTTTGTGTGTTTTCTTTTCGCACCATTTCTTTTATCCAATCAGAATTTTTGGCTGACAGCAACAACAACAACAGGTTTACAAACAGTGCTATAGATAAGCAGACTTACAACACAGCTGATTCGGTCAATTATTTGTTTCATTAGAAGAAATTTCTAACTCATTACTCATATATCCTTGATTAGTGTAAAAGCAAGCAAGCAAGCATGCATATATATATATATATATATATATATATATATAGAGAGAGAGAGAGAGAGAGAGATTTCAACTAGGCTGTGATCTATGTGGTTTATTATTGTGTTATTTTGTTTTCTTTTACATTGAAATCGTATATGTTATTTACCCTTTAAAAAACGCAAGAATTTATGGCATAAGAGAAAAAGACGGAGATGAAAAGATGTGGGTTTTTCTTTCCAGCATACCCACCCACCCTGCTTTATGCGTATATTGTGTTTATTTGGCAAAACACTGTTGTATTTTTTTCCTCTTCAAATGATGCGTTGATGATTCAATGATTAATTTTCTAGTGTTTTTAAGTAATCAATGACAACTTTTAAAAAATATATTTTAAATGGTTATAAATGTATAGTGGAGTTGAACAGGCGAAAGGTTTATATGATGAGAATGAATGTGAGACTGGAAAATTTGATTGTTTCATTGTTTCTTCTGCGTGTATTAACCGGTGTTTGTTTTCTCTAGGCTAAATGAATTATTCTCAAGTAATTAGTTTTGTAGGAATTTGATTTTTGATTGGTTGGAGGATTTCATCATGAGCTGACATAACTTAGAGAACCATTGGAAAACCTGAAGGGAGTACTGGACAGCTGTTTCGTCCCAGTTTGAAAACTGACTCTTCAACAGTACGCACCCACAGGGGTTCGAACGCACGACCTGCTGGTTACAAAGAGGGCTTGTAGCTCGGTGGTTGCGTACTGATGAAGAGTCCAAACTAGGACGAAACAGCTGTCCAGTACTTCCTGCAGGTTTTCCAGTGGTTCTATAACTGATGTCAGCTGATGATGAAATCCCCCAACCAATTAAATGAAATGTGTTCATTAACACAACTCAGTGTAAAGTATGTACTTAATTCAAATTTCATTTGTATATACCGACAATAATCAAAATTATTACGGCGATTGAACGAATAGCTTAGTGATGAGTTGTGCTTCCCTCCTAACTTGATTGTCCTAAGTTCCATCTCTTTTAAAGTCATGGGTATGTATTGCTAAAAAGTGTTAAATTAGAGTGAAACAACTGTCCAGTATTCTTTCGCTTTCATTGGCTCTGTAGTTGATGTCGCTTTGTGTATCAAGATTCTCTCTTTTCCCTTCGGTAGCAATTACTCAAGACATAAAGTTACTTCTACTAGAAACTTTCCTGTCAGTGGGAAAATATCATGCCTTGATGTAACTTTTCCCTCAGATACACAATCTTTTTGGAAACCAATAAAGTGAAAAGTTGGCAGTACACACGTAGACTGTACCCCTTTTTAATGTTATATATATTAGCAAACCACATATTAAACTTGACTAGCACTTCAAGAAGTGCATTTGCTACCATTCGATAAATAATTTACAGATTGACATTCTTTTAAAACATATTCATGTTCAAAACTTTCAATGATGCATGTACGCAAAGAAATGTTGGTTCATTCAGTAACATATTCAACGATGTATTAGTTTAAATGAAGCTAAGAGAACTGGTGTTGTGAAATATCTGTCCCCTTTGAATACAATGACATATTCTTCTTCTATTTATTCACCGGAGTAGTAAGTATTTTAGGTACTGAGAATATGTCTGTCAAACTGAATCCTTTCTATTTCATTTCACCTGCGCAGTCTGCATTTGCCTTACATGAAGATATCACTTAAATGTGTTTTTCAATATGTTTTACACTTACTATCATTCTCTTAGGTTCATAGTAGAGCATAGAACTTCGAAGGCACATCTCCACTTCATCCTTTCTCCTGTGGTCCTCTTTAGCTGCCTCCACAATTTCCCATACGTTGTTATACTCTCCTAACACGATCTCCTCTATGTATGTTAGGCTGGGACACCGAACTTTTCGTTCCCCATTAAAGTTCTACTTAAGCGATGGCGCGCGATGTCACCTGGTGGTCTCCCCAGCGTGTGTGCGATCTATCTCCATTTTCTTCGGCATATCTCCCGAGCTACGGGTTCTTGATTGGTTCGTTCTCAGAGTTTCTTGTTGCTAGTTCTTTCGGGTCATCAGATCTTCACTATCGAGATAGCGAAGGCATTTGTGGATAAAAGTCTTCAGCAAACTGCTCGAAATGCTTATGGTGACACAATGAGTCTCTGAACCATATAAAAAATCACTGACTGAATTGAAAATGGTTCTGAAAATCTGAATCTTGTTCTTCATGCCTAAGTGCAGTAGCATGCCACACTGACTTTGGATGAATGAATGTTCCTTTTGCCTTTCCTATCCCCGTTGGCTTTGACATCACCTTCCATCCCACTCATAGCTGAAATAATGCTCCCTAAATTAGTGAAAGAAAAGACTTCCTTTCTTGATTGCTGGTTGCTGTTGTTGTTCGGTGGGCATTTTCATCACCTCTGTCTTCCCTATGTTCAATTTAAGTCCCATCTTCATTGCTTCTCTGTTATGCCAACTTGTTGGTGTTCGCTTATATAAATCTCCGGGTTTGTGTGACATTAGACATAAATCATCCACGAAGTCCAAATCTTCTTCTTCTTTTAAACCCAGTGTATTCTTGTCTCCTCTTTCTTTCTTTCTCTCTCTCTCTCTCTCTCTTTAAGGTCTCACTCATGATCCAATCCATCAAAATCAGGATAATCATCACTTATGGTGGACAGCCTTGTCTTAATCTTGTCTTCAGATGATTTATCCTCCTTAGGACTAGTTTACAAATATTTTTCTAGCTTCTTTGATTTTTGACTTTTGTTAATTAGAACAAGACATTCAAGCGAACAATATTGTTTTCAATTAGATAACAAAAATTGATATGATTATGAACAATAAATTGTGTTCGAAACGTCATCCAGTATATAATACTGTTTCACTGTGTGATACATCTAATAAACAAACTAATATAGAATTATTCAGTACCACAGTGCCCAAGTTTTACACATATATTATCAATTAGATCTCATCAGGCTTAACTCTAATATATATATATATATATATATATATATAAGTTTACAAATAAAAATTCAAATATAAACCAATCATGGTGTTTTGTCTGTAGGATAATACAATGGTGAATATAAATTGTGCAATTAGTCATAATAGTAGTAATGATAATATTAATAATAGTAATAGTAATAATGGTCTTATCAATAATAGGGATGGAAAAGTGACGCAATCTGTGATAACACGAATACTGATGAAAAACAGTATGATTAAACAAACAAATGTTCAGGTGGACATAGTAATCGATAAAGTCTAGTAAAAACAAATGAACCGATTAAGTAATGTTAGATTGTAAGGCAAGTAAATGAAACACGTTTATAATGAAGATGTGTTAAGTAAGATTAAGGGATGATAAGAAAGGGGTTGAAAATATAAACAACGGGTGGTGTGGAAGTCATCAGTTGGTTATATCTTAATAGGCCAAGGAGGGATAATGGCTGTTGATATTTCGAATGTCTATCGCCTCAGCTGTGTCTATCTGTCTGTTTTCGACATAGAACTTTGCACAATGTGCGGAAGTTCAAGTCACCACACTCCATGTAGCACACGAAGCAAGAGAAGAAAGTACAAGAAAAGCATAATAGAGACAGTGAGCAGAGGTGTGAGACAAAGGAGGAGTAATAACGAAGAACAAAACAGTTCCATTGGAAACCATAAGTCAAAAGGAGTGGATGCATCTGCGCCACTGAGAACGATTTTGAGCCATGTCATCAATTGTTTCCAACCTTCATTGGTTTTTACCGTCCCGAGGACCCCAACCAGTCAGGAAGTCTACACCTTCCTACGTGGCTTAGACTAACTGTTGTAGATTTCATTGACTGGTACCATGTTTTTGTTGACCGCCTCAGTTAAATGTGACAAAATTGAGCTACGGATTGTTTTTGTCTATCCTTTGCCAAACCACCACAATGGGAGATGTTCACTAACACGGTGGTTGGCTAGGCTGTCTAGTAGTAGTATGCCCAACATAACTGTCACCACAGATTCAGTTGAATTGATAAATGCACATAGATGTTAATTATGCCTTAAAAGATAAACAAACTAACATAATGAATTTGTGTTTTTTATTTTTAAAGTGATTAGGTTTCATTTCATTTATACAAACGGAATGTATAATTTACCACAGGTAAAAAAAACAACAACAGAGAAACAAACATGATAAAATCACATGTTGTGTTTGTTGTTTCCTTTTTGGTAGAAATTTGAACAATCTGAACAACAAATTATTGATCTAAGTCTATGTCCACATCACAACTCCAACCAAAGCCTTAATATTAGCTAACGAATTTTGGTGTATACACATGCATGTGATCCATCTTTTTTTGAACAAAGAAATTGGATGATATACTACGATATTCTATCGCATTGTTCTTCCACTATGTTCAAATTGCCATTTAAGTAGGCTGAGTAGAATGCACAATGTCCCAATTTGTATAGTATAATCGTATTATTTGTGTTATCTTTCGAAAAGATATATTGATTTTGTGTGAATTTTAAAGTAGGTTATCAAAGGGCATCTAAATAAGCATGCGTATAGACGGATGTTGAAGTGTGGTTGCGAAATCTCTCTCTTTCTCGCGCTCTCTCTCTCTATGTGTGTGTGTGTGTGTGTGTGTGTAGATTTAAGTATGTATGTGTTAAATGTTTAATGTGTAGCATGTTTATTCTACTCTTTGTGTTATATTGTAAATTCATCAATCTGATAAGTGTATGATTACGATTAATAATTATGCAGATGGTAGATGGTATTATACAGAATGAAGAAAATGAAGTAAGCTTAGTCTGATCAACTGTTGATTTATGTAGGGTCTTAGCTGTTACTACATCGTGAAATAAAGACTTTATCTAGTCTATCTGTCTGATATATTGCTGCTGTCATTATCATTGGCCGGGGATGATATGCTCAAACCAACTAGCAACTCATCTTAAGCTACTGCTCCACCAATTTCTTCCAGCGTGACTGGCACATTTTTATAAGTTACCAGTTACCGATTTGGTGTATTTCCTCCATTAGTTCGTGAGACCGAATAGCTAGCTCAGTGGTAACGTCTCTGACTTCAGGCGCCACTGAGTGACGTGGGTTCGAATCTCAGAAGGGACATGAGTTCCTTTAAGGTTGCAGATACGCCTTTCTGATGAGTGCCAACTAGCACGAAACCTAGTTCCTCGATTAGTTGTTGGATGAGGAAAGCACACTGGCTGGCATTGTCACTGTAATCATGATTATTACCAGTGCGCCGTCGACACATGTTTGTTACGTATGCCTAGCTTAGTCATCGCCTTCCTCAACAATAGGCAATGTTAGCTGACATAGGGTTAGGTTGGAAAAGAGCTAGTGGTGGTCAAACCAAAACATGGCTTCATCAGCCAGTGAAATCCACAACAGTCAGTTTAAGCCAAACACACTTTCTGAGTCTACTGGTTAAAATCTTCACTGCCACGTAAGTGAGAATACACCGAGATTGCTGGAGGGAATATATTCACACAATAACAAATGGTCTAAAAATTACCAAAGTTGTGTTAATTAGTCTATAATAATCATGATCAGTAAAATAATGGGCATTATTTTGCATAGATCAATTCTGATTGGTTAATTTCTAGACTGGACATCGATCGCCATATCATTATCACACTGCATCCTACGTCAGTATTTAAAAGTATATAGGTATCATGGTTATCTTTTGGTGACCAGTTTACAGGCACATATACACACATACTGTCTTACTTAAGTATATGGGCTTGTATCTTATTAATACAGTGATTTATCACTTATGACCACATTTGTTCTTTTAATTCACATGACAGTCATACAATCCTTTGATGTACTGAATGACAAGCCTTCCGCCTGGTAATGACACATAAGCGTCTTGGTCATCAAACGAAGATGCTTATCACTGGAATTGATTAAATCAAAAAAATCGAATTCAGTGTTCAGTATGCTTACTGATTTCATATACTAAAAATCCTGCAGTGGGGGAGATGTTAATGATTATCGTAAACACTGGGCCTTCAGTCAGTACGTCCCAGTTTCGTACTCCGCTCCACCTATTTCAGCCTCGGCAATCGGGTGGTACTATCAGCCTTCACATGATGAGTGCGGCTCATACACTTGTAGTTGAAAGATCTGATCTAGGCATCTGGATGCTAACGGGAACAAAGTAGGTAATCTCACCTTCTGGTCCCACTATCTAAAAGAAGGCGAAATCTAATAATTTGAAACCATAAAGCATTATATTACTTAATGTTTTCTCTCTATATTTCTTTTTACTTCTCTGACTATCTACAACAATAACACCTCGGATCGTATCCATACAGGTATGTATTGTCAGTGATTCAATCGGTAAAGAGGATCATGAGAAGTCAGATTTAGCATGGAAATCTTCATCCAACTCAATTGATGATCATATTTGGGAGGAATTTTATGAGTTTAATAAAGCCTATATGGAATGCCTAATCACATATTTAAATGAGGTGAAGTGTATTGTCACTATTCACACCGAGGCAAATGCGTCATCCTTGTCGGCGTCGTCGTCGTCGTCAGCAGCAGCAGCAGTAACAAACGATAATACTTGTGCCAAAACTAGTCAATCTTTTGATTATCCTACTGTGCATTTATTGGAGTCAAGTGAAATAAATTTGTTGGATAATAATTGGCAGCAAAATCAATTGATTCATATTGACAAAGAACGTGAAATTTTACAGGTTAGTTCACATATGTGTCTGTTTTTCGTTTCATTCATTGCTAGTTGTATAGAGTTTTTGTATCTTTCACATTACGAATAAAGAATGATGAAACTGTTTGTAATGCTTACTCAGACAGGAAGAAAACTTCATTAGTAATGTGAAATCTCGTCTCTGCATTTTTCTTTATCTTTTGGGCGAGTTTTCAGTTTTCATTCCAGATAAGTTTCATGTCAACTTATTAAAACTTAATCACTGGGTATCGTCGTTCAGACATTAAACTGTCAAACCGAATTAACGAAGTCCCCTTTCGTTATCACTTCTAATCGACCGGTATCAAATTCCTGTATTCCAATTGTATTTCCTTTGGTTAATCGCTAATCTTATCACTGTTGTAGTCATAAACATTCTGTATAGAAGGTGAAATAGTCTCGATCATCTAAGAATTGTTAATTTTCATGAATGCGGTGTGTAGGAGGAATTCCCTTGATTTCAGGGTAGATTTTGTTAAGAATTGACATCAGTTAGATAGGGATTGAAATCCTAGGGTCACCGGGTGGGTATTTCATCCTAGTTTGTGACAATTCAGCCGTCCAGTGCTTCTTCTTCTTGTACACCGGAAATCTCGGCGACACATTCACGCCAGTTGTCAAGGTTAAAATGGTCTGAGACACTTAGCTCCCCTAATTTATATTTGACGGATTCCAAGCCTAGACAGAAGGAATCATGTACATTAGCTTATTTATAGCTTGTGATGAGTAGCTGTTAATTGAATTAAGTAGTATATATAGCATAATGAAAAGTGAGATTGATAGCTACAATCCACATAGCTCCGTATATGATGATATCTGATAGAAATCAGTAACTATTAGTGGAGATTTAGTTTGTTTTTTAAGTGATAGTTAGTCTAGTAATCACATATTAAAGCATGATCTGGTGTTTGGTTGTTGTCATATAAGATGTGACTTTGTTGACTGCGTGACAGTCAAGTCAACTAATTCACTAGAGTACGAGGTAGAATGGTAGGTCATAGTAAGGTAAAACAGATAGTGCAGAATACAATTCAGTTATTCATCGTATGTCTGGTCACCCAGTTTAGATAAAATGAAAGATCAGGAAGGCATCAGAAATCCGCAAAACATTTCTATTAAAGCTGTGGTTGTTTTCAGGTCATCAGTACATGCAAGCTAAATAGAAGTATAACTCTACTATAGATAAGATTTTATTCTGATAAATCACACAGTGTTATACAGTAATATTAACTGATGACTATTGCTTAATATAATTATGAGCAATAGTATGTGCTCGAAACGTCATCAGTTAATATTACTGTATAACACTGTGTGATTTACCAAAATAAAATCTTATCTATAATGGAGTTATACTCTACCATAGTGCCCAAGTTTTATTATTATTATTGTTCCCTTGGGTTCGTAGTGGAACATAGGGCTTCAACTGCACGTCTCCAATTGCTTCTGTCTTCTGCTGTACTTCTCACATGCATCCATGTTAGTCCATACTATTTCAGCTCTTCACACGATCTCCTCCATGTCGCTCTTGGACGTCCTACTCGCCGCTTCCCTTTCGGCCTGGTTCCACTCGAGCAATGGCTTGACGCGCGATGTCACCCAGCAGCCTCCTCAGCCAGCGTCCAATCCATCTCCACTTTCTCCTGCATATTTGTTGGGCGATCGGTTCTTGTTTTGTTTGTTCCCATAGTTTCTTGTTGGTGATTCTTTCCGGCCCGGCCATCTGATCTTCAGTATAGATCCAGCGAAGACAGTTAGTTGTTGATGAATGTTTGCAATAGCCTGTTGGAAATATTCTTCGTGAGCCCGCCAAGTTTCTGATCCGTATAGAAGAAATGACTTGACATTTGTATTGAAAATCCGAAGCAATGGGGTTGTTGATGCTGAGTGACGAAGATTTCCAGATTGGTTGTTTCAGGTTGATGAATGTGTTTCTCGCCTTCCCGATTCTCGCTCGATTTGACATCCTCGTCCGTTCCGACTGCTTCTAGTTGAGACAATTCTCCCTAGCTAGATAAGTGAATGAAGTAACCTCTTTCAAACCCCTCCCATTGATGGTGATTGGTGCTGGGTGTTGTATACTTATATCTAAATAGAAGTGATTGAAACAACTTCGTTTATTTGAAGGCGAACATACAGCTTATGTACTTGAATTGTTCCAATCTAAAGATTAGCAGACAAAAGACAAGTAGTTCAGCGAAGAGCCTCTTTTCGGCGAATTCATTTTCATAGCTGTACAATCGCAAATATATGGTTATTTTGTGTGTGTGTGTGTGAATATATACATTAAATTTGTCAAACGAAAATACAGTTAGTAAGTTGTGGTCAGTCAAACCACCTTATTTTCGACTACTTGAACTAATTGATCCGATCATCCACACAGATGCCCATCAGTAGTTGATTGCATCGCTCAGTTTTCCTGTCTGCAACGTGACACAATTGACATTGTAAAAGAAATCACTGATTGTGATCTGAATATTTCAATTCACAGTATCTTCATAAATACATCACTCTAGACTGTAAACGTTCATAATCTTGGACAAGAATCTGACCTAGTTTTGACGAAATTATCACGTGACCGCTTTCATGCGAATAAAAATTATTAAATATTGCTGTATCTGGAACTGTTTTAGATATAACGAATAGAATAAAATGGAGTGCGTTGCCAACCACATTGGAGGTCCACATTCGATTCCTGGCTGACGAACTCCTAAATATCTCATGGTTTTCTAACAGCTATTAACCCCGGGAAATAAGGAAGTCTGGGCTTGAGGTTAGCAACCCAACCTAGTAAAATCAACACCACTACTGAAACTTCGAAGCTTGAAGCCGTATTTTTAACTCAGAAGGCAAAGGAATTAAAAAGACGTGACAATAAAGCATCACTGATGCGCTAAAATAATCTTAATCTCTCTGTAGGTAGCATATAGTTAAAACAAACCACTGAATTAAACGGACAGTATGAATCATGCGGACTGCAACTTTCAATTTTAGAGAATTAAATAAATGTTGGAAGCTGATTGGGGGGGAATCACTGTTCCAGACAGCCAATCAGATTAAAAAACTCCATCAGATGTGTCGGATTAGTATTCTATCAGAATGTCCAAATTTTGTCCCTGCATCATTGTCCTAATGTTTTCCCGATGTTGGCTTTTCGTTAGACCACACAGGAAGATTATGACTGACTTTTCAAACGTATGCTAACATTTACCATCTCTATATGATCTCATAATTCCGTAACTATAGGACAATTTCCCATCGGAAAATTATATTCGAGAGAATACCTGGAATTAAATGAAATCTAGAGTTGCGTAGAGCAGGGTACATGTATAATCTACTGAGTTACGGCCTAAAATATCAACAGCATTCTCATTTCATTCTTCACACAAACACAGACACACAGAGGTATCATATTCCACTCAATTGAATTTTTGTCTGCTGACGTATTGAAAATAAAAAATGTTAGTTATGCATCATAGATTTTTTTTTACTTATGATCACTTGAAATATGTGAGTGATCAGTAAACAGGATTATCCAACTGTGTTATACTTACCAGACTTTTAAGTATTTATTGTTATTTGGAAGAATACTACTGATATGAGTAGTTTTAAGTTACCCTGTGAGATAGACCTATCATCTTCTTGGTTTAAATGAACTGATTACACATATCATTGGCTCCTGTTACACCTCTACCCATTCAGATGAATTTCTTGTTTATAGGGATTAAAATTTGGTAACACTTTTCCTAGGAGTAATAGGGGATGGTAAGTAGTTGACTCAAAGAGTCTACTGGTAAAACTATTCGTAGTCATTTCGCTTTCTCTTTTTTTAAAATCTAAGTATCTTCACTGAATCATCGATATTAACAGATTATATTTTCTCCTTAAGTGGATCTACATGAGCTTACTGTTATAAATTCATAGTTAACTGTTGATTTTCGCTTGACATAATTTCAGCGAATTACTTCTAATTGATTTAATAATGCTGTAACGGCAGCAGATAAGAAACTGTGTAACGGAATTTTATTGCAGAAAAATACATCATTTTTATACACTTAGACACATTAAAGTTTGGTTAGGTCAGGGGACACGAAACTGTTCTAATTGACTGGTGATTGGTCCAAGGTTAAACAAGGTGTTCAATGAAATTTTTTTCATGTTCGCGACGTGAACAAAATCCAGATTTTTAGAAGAGATACTTCTCCCTCTTCAGTCATTGACTTGAAATGTTGATTTCACTTTTGTCCGCTTCCTATCGGTGAACATCATGCTACAATACCACATTACAGCTGTGTACGTGTACGTATACGGAATCGGTACCAACATGTCTATTTTATGACACCTTTTGAATTACTGGGGTTAGGTTAAGTGTATATCGGGATTCGAAATGGTGAACCAACATTTGTTGACCAGAAACTTGTAATACAGCTCTATGTTAAACAAAAAAGATCTTTGACTAGTCTAATATACTTTACTTTCATGTGTTTCTAAGTACTGCTATATTCATATTTTAGCTCGATAACGTATCATTCACCTTCGTTTTTGTCGTCAGACTTTATGGAATATACCTAAGGATGTTCATATGTCGCTAAATTGGTAATAAGCCATAATTTAATTGAATTTTAGATTTTCCCGTCGACTGATTGGACCGAAGTACTCGGTCTCGGCATTGGGTTCGAGTATCGGTGGGAACATTATCACTCACTGGGAAATGCAGGTCATCCGGATGACGAGTCCCAAATAGGACGAAATGCGCATTATCCCGGATTCCACTGCTAGTCACCATCCACAAATTAAATAAGGCATAATGTTTTTTTAATAAAATTCCTTTCATATTAAATGGGACTATGAATACTTTCTTTTGTTTTAAATTTAAAACAGGCTAATTTTAATGAAATAAGCGTACTAGCTGTTTTCCTACACGTTCTGTTCTCATCATCCTCATCATCATCATCATCGACATCGTCATCATTCCCTGCTTCGTCTTTACCTCCATCATCATCTAGTCAAATCCCGTTGATAAAAGATATCAAACAACAAAAACTATGGCAAGAGTTAATCAATCAAATGAGGTTAACAGCATCTCGTGCATTTGAACAATACACCTGTCTGGGATTTTTAAAACAGATTATTCGACGACCCGGTGGATTGTATGATTTGTCTAATTTTTTGACAGGTAGGTTCCTCTGCATATGATATTTAATGTGAATGCGTTTTGTTTTAGTAGTTAGTTAAAATCTCTAGTAAATTTTCTTTCTTTGTTGATTTGGTAATTTACTATCAGTACTGCATTTAGTCCTGATTCTACTGTTCACGCTTAGAAAACATAATGAAGTCATACATATACAAAAGAACAACAGAGGTGGCAACTGATACGTGAGGAGAGGCTTTTATAGCTCAGCAGCTTAGTTGGTGATACTCAGGTATTTGAAACAGTGGATATAGAAGACTGTAAGTATTAAGGTGGATGTGCGTCGGTGGCACAGCGGTTAGGACTCTCGCCGACCATACACATGGTCCGAGCTTCGATCCCCTGCCGACGCACACCTGATATCTATGGTCGGCCTGCAAAATTTGGGCAACCGATATCACATACTGAAAATTCCGTACTTGTATCAAAAATACAGTGTGGAATCAAGCTGTAATCAAAAAATGTGTGTGTGTATGTGGAATACACTCACCTATTTCGGATCGAGGGAATTTTGATTAACTGGTTAGTTATGAATAGGACAGTTCGTAATGAGAATAGTATGTTTCGATAGAGAAAGAAAGAAAGACCAGATTTGCAATATAAAGTGATATCATCATTCTGTTTCACAGGTTCTCATCAGCTGCAAACTACCTGAAATTACAATGATTATAAATAATAACATTTCATACTTTGATGTTTGAAAAGTAATAGTGAAAACATTATAAGATGAACGCATCCGGAATATAAGCATTGCAATTTTTAGTTTAAGTTATCATTAATTTAAATGCTATCAAACTATGAAGAAAAGGAGTGGATGAGGGTAGACAGAAAACAGAGAAATCTAATTAACAGTATTAGCTTGTACGTCAACATAGCAACTCAAGAAGGTTAAAGTTCATCAAATTCAAAACTTGCTCAATGAGCTGAGCTCACTAGTGTGTATGACTAGTCATTGTAATGAAATTAATACGGCTTCCAAGGGAGTGAGAGATTGACTACACTCTCTTTCTGAGTGCATATGTTTGGTCTGAGACGTTTGATTGCAATTGCTTCAGCAAATCGTAATATATTCACTGTCCTTTGTATGTTTAAGATTTTCGACAAAATGACCCGTATCTACAGAGTGGGTGTCTGTTAATTGCGCGTTGTAAGTATCTGCTTCCTTTTAAGCATAATTTTCTTGAAATATACTCTGAAAACCGGATAGAAGCGCTTCTGTTTGTCCTTTCAATGTACTTGCTACCACAGGTGCACGTAAATGTATAAGTGCAGTTGGAGGTGACATCAGCAGGGTACTTATCCAGTTTTGATTGGCTTATAGAGCATGTAGTGCTGCATAGTATCACCAGCTTGGCTGCAAGGAAGCATCTCTTTATTGCTCCTTTCATCCTCTTGTCATTTTGGACAGCATCCTCTGTGAAAACTTTAGAAACTAATGAGCTATGCAAATATCTCACACGAATATTTTTATAGCATGAGATGACCAGAGATGTGGTCAGTCTCTTGAATGACTCAAACCAACTCTCGTTTGAGAAATATTTCTCTCTGCTAATGGAATTTATCACCTAATCACAGTCAAATAATTATCATAAATTTGTACTTTCTTAATGGGTGTTAAAAGTTATGTAATAACTTATTCTTTAAAACAAATGTTTAGAAATGTGAGTCTGTACCCACAATGACTGATTTACATCAGATTAACGTTTGCTGTACTTCTAGCTTAACTTTTCGGGAAACTGATAACTGATGTTCTCTAGTAATGGGGATATTCGATAGGGGGATAGCCTCCTAAAAGGAGATTGGAGATATTTATGCTCCTCATTAATATCCTCACTGTCGTCATCAGAAGACGTCTGGTTATTTTTATAAGTGGCAATCTGAATAGTTCGATTCATACTTTTTTAAAATTTTAGATTGTATGTATCGTATTACATTTCAAATAGAATTAGCATTACTGAATTACGAGACATAGGAAAACATGTAATACAAAATCCATTGTACAAATGGTCCATTGTTATACTCGATTTTCAGAGTCATTTCTGTGATTCCCACTGACTAAAGTCCTTTGTGTATTTTATCACCACCAATCAAAATAAAGCCTCCTATAATAAAGGTTTTTGTATTTCCCAATAAATGAAAAACAAAACGATATTGTTTTTGCTGACGTTTTGCTATTTAGTGCTGCTAATAGATTTATCAAAGTATTATTAAACCGGAATTTACAAAATCTCAGCATATATATAACAAAGAGTTAAGAGGTGAGAAAATGGACTTAGGTCAAGTTAAAGGGACATATTGAAAGTAAAATTAGCGATGAAGATCACTAAACCAAATAACAAGGTAATAGTACGTCTGTCATGGTATCAAAATAAAGTCTACTAGCTTGATCATCGTTCGTCTATCTGGGGTCGTTTTTCGCTGTCAAGTTGGTCAATTGGTAAAGTAACAAAATCAAATGTAGATTGTTGGATTTGATCAGTGTGTAAAATTATAAAAGTAGTGTGTGTTTAGATAGTGAACTTGCTTATCACATTCGTGTTGATTTTGTCACTTCATGGGGGAGGGGTTGTTGCGACCACGTCAGATTCTGTTTTAGTCCATCATTCCTATTCAGACAATTGGGATTCCACTTGATATAAAGTACTTCTCATATTAGACGTTCTTTGTGATTCCTGAAGTTTTTCTGGATTATTTCAATATTGTCAAAATCAATTTTGTGGCCTGATTCTGTAGCGTGTAGACCACCTCTGGCTGATGATTTTTGAAGTTCTTCTAGTTCAACTGGATTTTTTGGTGGTCGAAGAGAAGCTCTACGGTGTTCATTTCTTCTGATTTTGATTTCTCGAGATGTTTGTCCGATGTAGATCGCATCACATTCCGAGCATTTTATTTTATAAACACAATTAGATATAGAATCTTTCGGGATTTGGTCTTTTATATGCACGAGGTTGTTTTGAAGTGTGTCCGATGTTTTGAAGAAAACTCTAATGTCGAGCTGATTGAGTACTCTTCTGATATCGTCTGACGTCTCTGCTCCATATGGAATGACGACTGTTGAAGTCCATGTTTTCGGAATGCATTTTCGGCCATACTTAATGTCTGTGTTGATTTTGTTGATGAAGTTCGTTGGGTAGTTGTTTTGTTTGAGAGTTTCAGTGATGTTTGAAATTTCTTCTTCTTTTTCTTGCTCATCTGTTATCAGGGAGTGTGCTCGTCTAAGAAGACTTGAAACAACTGAAATCTTTGCGCTGATGGGGTGTGATGATTTGAAGTCTAAATATTTGTTGGAGTGGGTTTTCTTCCTGAAAATGGATATACTAAAATGTCCGTTTTCCTTTCTCTTAACTAGGCAGTCTAGAAATGGAAGTTCACCGATGTCTGATTCTGCTTCCGAAGTGAACTGGATTTTGGGAGATACACAGTTTATTTTCTCCAGGAATGAATTGTGTAGATCTCGTTTTAGTACTACAAAAGTATCATCCACATATCTTAACCATATTTTAGGAGTGAGTATGCTTGAAAAGATATTATTTTCGAATTTATTCATGTAAAGATCGGCGACTATTGGGGAGACTGGTGAACCCATAGCAACACCATTTGTCTGTCTATATAAACTCCCTTTAAATGTAAAATAATTACTTTCTAGACAGAATTTTAAGCTCTTAATTATTTTCAAAAGAATGCATACTGAACAAAGAGTACTCTTTTCGATAAATTCATCATCAGGCTCTTAATTATTTCACTGGTGTCCAGTGGACATCTTTGTGATAGCGTTGCATCTGATTCTAGTAGACTGCAAATGATATCAAGACTTTTGGTAATAGGGATGCGAGTATATAATATCATAGCTTACCATAAGGTCTTCTGTATCAATTTCTCGGTGTTCTATTTGGGATTTGGAATCACATGAATTTCTTACAATATTTTGAGTGTCCTTTTGTAGTGGTTGTAGTACCGACAGTCAGTATTTAGAGAGGTTGTACTTACTCTCGGTAATCCCTTATCTTAAGGTGTAAGACTGTGACTCGCCTATGGACAACAAGAAACATGATATCTGACTCGCAGACTTTCTTTTTAACAAAACTGATTTCATAAATTCTACCTCTGATATTGTATGTTACAGTGTTTGGTCACTTAGAATAATTAATATATTAGAAATCCTAATTAGCAATTTGAATTGACATAAAGTGACGTCAGCCGTAAAGCGATCGCAAATCGAAGACCACTGAACAATGGTTTGCTCTTACCTATGTACACTGGTTAGTAGTCGAGATGAACTACCTCAAGAGAATTATTGCATTTAGGCGTAACAGTTTTCATGCCTAATACTGATTGAGTAAGAATGCAGTGGCGTATGATTCTCGTGATTTTTACCGATGTTACCTTGTAAAATATCATAGTTTAATTTGTAGAAATGTTTATTCAGTCGGTTATTTGTTTTAATTCTTTTATTTTAGAATTACTTAATCGATTCTTAAATACTTCACAATCTCATATCTGGAGTGAATTAGAACTGTACTATTATGAACTTACAATTCGTCATTTATGCCATCAAATATGGATTGAATTGGCTACTATCAATGAGTTGAATAGTGAGCACTTTGATAAAACTGAATATATCGGTGTAAAGAATTGGTTAGAGGCATGGATATATCGTGTACAAGAAGTCTATCGATTAATAGTCAATCTATGGCAGGATAAAATGAATCAATTTCAAGACAATTTACATATTCTCATTATCAATCAGTGGTGTGATTATGTCACAGATTGTATTGATGAATCTGAATTATCTGAAATGTAAGTGATTAGAGAATTGGTTTCTGTTTGTTTTTTTTACATCCCCCCTCCCTATCCTGAAAAAATATTCTTTTTTTCCTTCTTATCGTTATCTTCTAATTAGTATCTTTAGCAGGAAATATTATAGCAGAGAATAGCCTAGTTTAAGACATATCAGAAATCTGTACATTTCTTCTCCATCAGTATATATATATATATATATATATATATATATATATATTATATATATGGAGTTATCGATTGGGGGTGGGTGGGTAATTAACGTGACCTGTCAGTAAAAGCATGATACACTCTGACAGTTTATTCATGACGATGATATTTGTGAAGATGAATTAATCTTCTGTTGGGTGGTGGCGGTTTAACACATAGTGGTATGTACTACTGATTGAGATGAGTAGTACAAAGGTTGTGTTGAGTTTCTATGGGCTTTTTTGGTGTGTGTGTGTGTGTGTTTTGTCACACATTACAGAGTTTTATAAGTCAATATCGATAATTGTTTCAGTTACATACATCGATGGTGACGTATATCGATTTCTCAATTTTAATCAGCTCTTATTTGCTGTAATTATAATAATAAGACTAATAATAATCTTGAAAGTAAAAAGATAATTGTGAAAAGTGAATCACAGTGTTTACCACTAGAAATTAAGTTTGTAACCGTCAATAAGACCTTATTGATGTAACTGTAGTAGTACATTTATACATTCATTTAACTCTATTTTCTTATTCCTTCTCTTTCTAAGCGGGACATAGGGTGGCTAAAGCTTTGAAGTTTTGCTGACGTTGTTGTTTCTGCGCGCGGAGGCTGGTGGTTGGTAGCCTTACGCCTAATCCCCCCACTTATATAGGCCTACTATTGGGTTGTAAATTGTAGTTTAGGTAGGTGTATGTCGTCCAAGCATCGAACTTGGAGAACGTGTTTAGCCGGGAAGCATCGTATCCTTGAGCTACCAACGCTCTATAAGTGTAGAGTTTTAGCGTAGGCCGGAGGAAATGACAGTTTGGATTTCTGAATGAAAAGCCTTATCATAGCTTCATAGGAAAGGTCGAAACATAAATAACGGTAGTCTGGTAATAGCAGGAAGGGTATTTCATTCGCGTACATTTCAAATTTTAAAATAAAAGATGCAAATGCCTCTAATATTTGAGCATATGTGTGAAACTGTTCAGTTCACTTGATATTAGTTTACTGTTGGTGATCAATACTGTTTCTCCAGTAGTGAGAAGTGGATTGATTATCGATTTAAAATCACCCGTGAAATGAGAACTTGGGTCATCGTAGGACTCGAATCAATTTCCTCTGTATTACTTACCTGACAATTTACTGCCTTACAGATATGAGGCTCAGTTGATAACCTTACTGTATGCACCAGGGTTTTCTCAGCTATCGTGTGAATAAGTGACCGTTTGAGATTGTCACATTACATACCCAACCGAGTATTCTCGTGGCAATTCTGTCTGTCGGACTGCTTATGGTAGCATCGGATATTCCAGTTGAAATAGATCTTATGTGTGTCAGTTATATTAACATTTTTTGTGGAAGATTATTAATTCAGAAGTTAAGTACCATAACTCTGTGAAGGTATAGAATAGAGATTTCTATTGGTATATTATACTACTGGCTGATTTAAGTAGCAGGAACCCACTCATATCAGACATCAGTGCCTGCTAGCGAAATCAAGATTGCTTACGCATTCCCGAGTAGATTCATGTCATCATATGAACACGAGTTTATTTATTTGATTTCACAATAGACATTTGTATATCAGACTAAGAATAACAATTATTTAGTGTTCTATAAGTTTTATGCTTGAAAAAGACTCTTCAGCACTATGTCAGTGTGACTTTATCAATCGGCATTCACACATCATTCGATAGATAAGATGTTGAAATGTTCGTAGTCAAATGATTTCCATAGCCCAGACAACACTTTTTAAGTCAGAAAATTCAGTCTCTCCACACGTAAAGATATTCGATATTATTTGACCTTGTTATGTCTAGATATCTAAGTGACTACTAGTCCACTTATCTATCGATCCACATATCATTTTATGCTATCGACTAATAGATAATGATTTCGGACAGTTTATTTATCCTCCCTATAAAGTCATGTTGTGTCTATGATTGTTTAGTTTATTTTCTATTGATTTTATTATTCATGATTCATAGTTCAGTGGATTAAGTAAATTCTCAGTGAATTACAGTGTTTAAAATAAAACTTGAGGGGTTAAATTGTAATCCCCATATTTGAGTGGAAAATTATTTAACTGTCGACATATCTGTGATATTTTCTACCTTACCTACAGTTTGTCTAGATTGAACTTTATTTTATATATGGTTGTATAGCAGTAGTTTTTGTTAGATTTTGTTCTCTGTTGAGATTTGTGAATGCATTACACACCTACAAACCATCTCATAGCCTGATAAAAAAACTCGGAAATTTTAAGAATATGACGGTGTTGATCAGATGGTCTTCTGTTTTAATTCCCAGGGTAGATGTTTCAGCCTCACTTGATTAGTAATTGAAGTCAATGTGTTAACCATTCTGCTTGTTTGAGAAACTTTGTATGCTCTGTGTACTCTAGATGTGATAGATGAGTATTTTCTAACAGACATTGTGGCCAATAAAGCCGAATTGACATTAGGAGGTTTTCATTTAATTGGTTGATGGTAACTAGCAGTGGAATCCAGGATGCGCATTTCGTCCTGTTTGGGACTCGTCATCTGGATGTACCTGCATTTCTCAGACCGAACCCTTCGGTCTAATCAATCGACGGGAAAATATCAAATTAGATTAAATTAGGAGGTTTTGTTAGCTATGTCATTTATGCGGAAAATACTCACAACTTTGGCAGAGTAGCTCCTTATTAGATGAGTTCATGATTCCGCCTCCTAACATCAAGTGTAACTACTATCAATCGTCAGAACAGATGGAGTTCCCAATTTTTCAATTAATAAAATGTTTACGTCTGATTGGGTGCGTCGGTGGTATAGCGGATAGGACGCTCGCCGACCATGCATATGGTCCGGGGTTCGACCCTCGGCTGGCGCACTCCTTTACCTCACTGAGCCAGAAATAATGCTGGTAAAGAGAAAAGGTTGGGCATGAGGCTAGCAACCCCATCCTGTAAAAATTAAACACTGCTACAGAAACTTCAAGCCACTAGCTTGAGGCCCTATGTTCCACTGGGAACGTGAAGGAAAAATTATTATTATTTATTACGTTTGATTATAAAAAAGCCAGAATAAATCAGTAAATAGTCGTGGTGATGAAAGTTATCCCTTTTTAACAGTCTTTTTATTGTAGCTTCACATCACTTCATTAGTGTGTGTACTTGAAATTCTTTCTTTGGAATAGTTTGGTTGTTCTCTTTTAACATACTGTCTGCCTTAAGTGATGCCTTTAATTTGACTTCGGCAGTGGTTAGCAATGAAATCTGAGAGGAAAGCATTTAGTTCTGTTCAAGATTAAACACTTCGGTTCAATAGTTCAATGGAAAACCATGGTTGTTATAAATAATTAGGAAAAGGATATCTTTGAATAAGTAAGGCACTTATTAGACAAATTTTGCGAGATGATATCATTTCGTATTTCCTCTACAATCGCTTTACAACTACCATGGTTCCTAATAGTAAAATAAAATGAAAGGTATAACAATTACTCAGTCATATAAAACAAAAGTATTTGCTAATGATTAATCATATTAAGACACAGAAAATCCCAATACAATTAATCTGAATAGAAATCCACCATCATCCACTGCAAAGCACTTATTAATGTTAGGGCACAAAATCAATATTAATAACTGCTTCACAATTATTTCACATAACTCGAATTCAAGGTTATTAAAGGTGATGGAAGCAAATAAAGTATAATTATATTTCAGTAGTTTACACACAATGATAAGTTTTGTTATTGGTAATATTTCGAGCAAAATTACCAATAACAAAACTTATCATTGTGTGTAAACTATTGAAATATAATTATACTTTATTTGATCTAATCCACAATGCTCAAACCTTTTAGTGATGGAAGCACTTTAGATTAATCACATACATCCTAAACAATGTGTACAAAAAAAAACAATAGACTTCAATCTTCGCCTACCATGGACTACATGACCTATTTAAATATGATTGATCATAAGTATATACTTTTGATTTTATATAACTAATTTGTCATGCACTTCATTTCACTTTATTATTGTGAACCATGTTAGTTGTAAAGCGATTGCAGCGAAACCACGAAATGATGTCATCTCACGAAATTTATCTTCTAAAGTGCCTTATTCAAAGATATTAAAGGAACTATTTGTTTTAATTTTCTAAAGTGATATCTGTTTAGCAAGACTTGGTCCTTGGGGTTTATTACCCTCCTGAGTGATACGTCAACATTTGAAACAAATGGTCAGTTATTCGAGTCTTTAAAGGGAATACAATTACTTATTGAAATATGAATGCTTGAAGAATGTCTCCCAGACCCTTAGTTACCTGTTGCAAAATAAATAGGACTCTTCAATGGATGACTTTCTGAGATTAATTTCATGATACGTTTCAAAATATTAATAAGACAACAAATATATATATATATGAATTGGCAGAAGTAATAATTCATGGGCCATAGAATCGGGCCCCAGTGGCTTAACAGTCTACGAGCTCGCCTTTTAACCAGGAGGTCCTGGGCTCGAACTCCGGTGGATGCGTACTGATGAAGAGTCCTAAACTGGGCCGACGAAATAGCTGTTCCAGTACTACCTGGTGGCTTTCCAATGGTTCTCTAACTGATGTCAGCTCACGATGAAATCCTCCAAAGAATCAAATATATATATATATATATATATATATATAGTTTTCGGAACAGTCTGATATGAAAGTGTATGCTAGAGCTCAGGAAAGGAGAAGTTATAAAGTAAGACAGACGTTTTAAGCTTTGGTGTAGGATTGATAGAAAGAGCACAAGTGCTGCACACACTTTAAATACATGTTCAACGTTTGCACTTTAGCAGGTTTGGTGAATTTTATTTAGCAATTTCATCGAATTTCGTATAGTATTTTGAAATACGCATCAAGCAGAGTTGGAATCGGTGTTGATTGCTACATGTGTGAATACTGGACAAGAATATAAGCGCAAGCAAGACGATGAGAATATATTCAAATCTGGAACTTCGTACAAATCAACTCGCCACTTGCGGATTACATTGTTCGCGGCTACGAATTCACTACAGTTTTCTTTGAAAATATAACCAAAAATTTGCGAACGTGGAATTTTAAGTTTGATCACAGGCTGAGTTCAGTCAGAGAACCGTTAAAAACTGGGAACGTACTGAATAACTGCTTCGTCCTTGTTTCTTATTTCTCATCAGCGCATAGCCATAACCTCACCTAAACCAATCAAATCTCTGCCAACCAACACTTGAAAACTACACTAGAATTCATTAGTGACCGATTATAGGATGAAGTTGTTTGAAGTTCTAATGGGATGTCGTGACCAGTAGAGTCCACCAAGTTGGGTAAGGAAACAGTTACTCACCTGTTTCATTGACTGGCAGTCGCGCTACATATCGGGAATATGCACAAGTTAGAATTCATTGGTCAGCTGTTAGATTTCGTGCCAGCAGCTAAGTGGTCAACTAAGCCGCCTAAAAATATCATGGGTCCGATTCCCTGTAGAGCTCTGGGTGCATACCTTTGAAGATTCTTAAGGGAGGATAAAACAGCTTTCCAGTACTCCCTGGTTCACAGTGGTTCTCTAACTAAGTTCACTTGTGATTAAACCTGAATTGGATCAAATCCCTACAAACCAACAGTTGAATATGAAGAATTTGTTTCTTTGTAATACCAGTTTGCCCTGAAATCCTTTCAGGTGGTTTGGCATTCTGAGTTGAGTCAAACTGAGTGCATTTATAATGATTTCGGCCTCATAAGAGCTACTTTGACACGAGTGGTTTCCATTTACTCATTAGTATACACCATCCTGCTTTTGCTGAAACTTATTTTTTTCAGTCAGAAGAATCGAATTATCCACCCACTCTTCTGTCCGAATCTGTCATTTGACGTTCATGTTTTTATTGGAGAAATTTATGAGATGCAATTAAAATGTTATAATTTCTCAAATTTATTATTATAAAACTGGCTGGATTTTTATTTTCTCTTGTTAGGCGTCGAAATGACTTTCCTCCTGTCAACGCTTTTCTCCCCAGTCATCAAACTTCACAAGAATCACAATCGCAGCAACAACAAAAACTTGACAACAAGCCTTCAAAGAAAGAAATTCATTTTTCTCTTCTTTGGTCTTTATTGTGCGATGCTGAAATGATTCAAGAGAAGTGTAGTGTTCAGTTAGAAAAACTACCCTCAAAAGGTGTGTACTTCTCAAAAACTCTACAGAAGTTGAAAAAGCATTTAGATGTGTATATAAAAAATCTAACCACGTCATCATCACCGTCGTCATCCCCGTCATTATCAAATGTCATTCCACAGTCAAAATCGTTTGATACCAGTCATAACTCTCTCTCATATCTAATACAACAGTTGGAGTATAGTCTACACAGTCTTCCTGTGCATTATCGTGTGTTTTGGTTAGAGGTAACCAACGATACTGGAAGTGTTACACATCAATCGGATCAATTACGCGTAATCCTACAAGAGTTACGGCAATTACGGAATTTATGTGAACGTAATTGTATGCTGTGTAAGCAGTCTTTAAGCCTTCTGCATAAATTAAGCCTATCTAGCTTAGAACAACATGAATTATTTGCTGTTAAGAATATGCTTCAGTTATTGAATACCTGGAATTATGGTTATTCTATTTTACGTCAGTCATTAGAACGTGTTATTCGAGCCGGTGAAGTTGTTGAATCGGAAAGATATCCACTAAGAACACTAAATACCAGTGAATTACGTTCAGAATCAGTAAGTTGTTGTTGTTGTTGTATTCTTTATTGTTATTATTTTCTTACTCCTAAATACAGAATAGGTAAGCTGCGCTTGAAATGGGTTTGATTAAAAAACACTGTAATAATTAATGAACTTGATAGAAGCTTAGGTATTGGCTAGATTGAAATGTTCACTGGTAGAATGCTCTCCAACCATACTGGAGGTCAGCATTCGATTCCTGGCCGATAGACTTGTAAACTTCGCCTAATTTACTAGCCAATAGTAAGCACAGAGAAGTGAGAAGGTTGGGTGTGAGGTTGATAACTCTACTGCATAAATTAAACTTCAAATCCTGAAACCCTATTGTCATTATCCACTTGGGTTCTGAGTAGAACATAGGGCTTCAACAACACATCTCCACTTTGTTCTATTCTCTGCTGTCCTCTTCAGCTGGGTCAATGATTGCCTATAATCTCTCATCTTTTCTTCGCTTGATCTCCTCCATATTACCCTCTCACCGATGACCCATTCATCGCTTCCCATTTGGATTCCACTCGAGCGATAGCCTGCATTGTGAGCGATGCTATTCGACGGCCTCAGCGCAAATATATATATATATATATATATATATATATATATATATATGTATATATATTCTGAGTCGACTCAGAACTTGACTTCCTGAAAGCCACACTCGCAGAAAACGGTTACCCTAACCGATTTATTGACAGAAACATGAAAGAGAAGCAGTCTAAACTGGTCACTGACTCAGTTCCAAAGAAAACCCTATTCGTGAACTTGGAATTCAAAGGAGATCAAGCTTCTGATATGCTCAAAAATCGTCTTTCTAAATCAGTTAGTAAAACGTTCCCTGCAGCTAGATTACATATGACGTTCACGAGCCGCAAACTGTTCTCTACCTCTGTAAAAGATAAGCTCCCCCGTCTGACCGCCTCCATGTGCATCTACCAGTTCACCTGCTCTTGTGGAGCAAGGTACATTGGCCGTAGTCAGAGAATGCTCTCCACACGGATACGAGAACATATTCCAGCTTGGTTTTACAAAGGAGAAAGGAAATGTGTGCGAAGTTCTATCTTAGAACACCTCATCGACTCCTGTCACTCGGTCAACCCTGACCATGATTTCAAGGTCATATACAGAATTCATGCCAGCTTCCCGCGTTTTCTTCGTTACAGACTTCTAAAGACAGCTGAGGCCTTGGCAATTCATGACTTTAAGCCAGACCTTTGTGTACAAAAGAAGTATGTACAATCCCTACTGCTGCCTTGGCCGTAGAGGGATAGACATTTATTTTATTATTTTATGTACTTTTCCCTTATTACTTCGATTATTATTATTATTATTATCATTATTATTATTATTACGACTCTCATTCTGAATCTTTTCCACTTGATCTACTTGACATTTTAAACCAAAAATTATTCATGTGTATACTTTTTATCTTTATTTTTACAATATTAAATTCTATGCTATCAAATTTCACACCATATTACGTAACATTTTACATTCGTCTATTAATCTTACAATTATATGCCTCTCCCCAAAATCTATACACCCGATGTATTATCTTATATATGACATTAATTATTGTTCCACTTAAACTATGAACCTAATCACAAATATTTTAAATTTATTTCATACTATTATTATTTCATGTATTCACACCTTTGACCTAATTCCCTCACCGGATATAATTTCTTTATAAAACCATATATATACGATTGTACAGCTTGATAATAAATTCGTTGAAAAGAGTCTCTTCGCTGAAAATGTAGTTATGTCCATGTACCGAAATGTAATGAGAAGTGAAGATTCGATCAGCCTAGTATTTAATGAGGAGTTAGCAGTGGATTTCATAGTGAGTGATTTGTTGTCTCCTGAGAGTCGTCACATTTTATGTATATACATCCATGTTACTGTTCTCACTGTGATACTGAAATTCACATTATTAAGGTAATGGTTATTGATTTGATTATTTAATTAGATAGCATTGATTTTAACTTACCTTCTATTGTTTTCCATTTGTCGTCTATCTTAATTCATCGCCATCATCTTTGTGGCAGATTCAGATGTTGAAACAGAAACAAGCCTTTATTGAAGCAGTGCAATTCGGTTTAGAGACTATACGACTTCAAATGAAGTCGACTTCAGTTAAACTGCACGAATATGATACTACTTCAAAATTAATCGATCATAAGACAAAATTTCAACATCTATTGGAATCACTGAAAAGCTTGTATCATAGCATATTAAATGATGATAGACTGAAAACTACTAATAGATCTGAGATACCTGATGATGATCTGAATTGTTTAGTAATAGCTAGAACAAAACAAGCTATTGAACTGAGTCAATTATGTCGTAAAATGGATCAAGTCAATTGGAACACTGCATGGGATGGTTTTCTAGAGTTTACAAATGAAGCAAAGGTTGACAGTGGAAACTCCAGTCGCTGGATAGTATACTTTCTTCAACATTGTCATGCATTTTCATCAAAAATCAATATGGAGGAAGTCTATCAGTGTCAAATAAACCAATTAGAAGAGATTATGCATGATTGGACCGGTTGGATTAAAAAGGTTAGTATTTTTTGTTGGTTGTTAGTTTGTGGTCGTTGTATTTAGTTCACTCATTTGCAAACATTCCACTACTTGATATCAGTTCAGAGAGGTTTATCTTCGACATAGATTTTTGACAAAGTGTATCACGGAATTTTAGAAGTATTTAGAAGATATCTGCTTCGATTTCGATTTTCACCAAACTAGAATGATCATAACACTGGATAACTATTTAGCTCACTTGAAGGCAATCTTATTACTGATGTACTGTTTCTTACGCGTTCACCTCACTCACATAGAGGCCAGGCCATCTATGGCGTCGTCGCAACGTTAGCCTGGCTGTCAAAGGTAGCATGCAATGCTTCGGTACGGGCCATCTTGCTCTGCGCCTATGAAACCTAGCCTCTCCAAGCTGAGGATGTGCGGCGACTCTGCGTATTCGATCGTCACTCTCTTCTCAGGGTTGCTTGCGTCCGATGGCATCATCGCGTGAGTAATTCTGAGGTCCGGCGGCGTGTATTTGGACACAGTGGAGATCACCATTTTTGAATGTCGTCATCTGGAAACAGTGGCTTCGGTGGCTTAGACATGTGCTGCGAATGTCACCCCAGGGGCTTCCGTATAGGTCTCTGTTTGCTAGCCCTGGGACGGGATAGTAAAAGCGGAGAGGTGACCAGCCCATGATGTGGCGTCGTGGGATGAAGGATATTTGTGTTAGGTTAGCATTGGTTGGTGCGTTACGTCTCCCTGGTTGGATTCTGAGAGATAGCTGGAATCGGTGGCTCGAAACGTTATCGGATATGGCCAAGAATTGTAATCAATGGCGAACGCGCTGTAATTTTCTTCTTTCTTCCCTTCCCAACGATAATTGACGAATGATGTTTGAACTTGTTAAATATGACTGTTTTCCTTCCAGATGAAGTTCTTTATCCGTTCTCTACTTATATTTTTTACTTTTGATCTATGTTGTTTTATTATTATTATTGTGTGACTCATTTTCTTGGTGCTATATTGTACCAAGTTTTTGTGTTTAAATAAATCATAAAATAAAAGCTATTCAGTTGAACTATATCTGCCTCTGGATAAGGTAGGTATAAAACAAGAGAAACAGTCGTATTTAGCATTGATATACCACTCTGACCTAACCAGAAAAATGTTCTAATCGACCACAACCATTTCTGATTAGTCATTAATTTTCATATTTTACACTTGGATGGTTTGAATTTCTAAGGTTCAAACAAGCCGGATTCGAGTGTCCGGAATGCATGGTTTTCTTAAATCTACATTTACTTCTGATTATTTACGAATATTCTTTCTTGTTATCAATAAGGACAAATGACGAATATTTTAAGCATTCAACTGTACACTTCATATTGTTGTGTTTGTAATGGAGAATTTCCAATTTTGGCTAAATAAACCTCCTATTTCTTCCTGAATGCTGATGTATTTTTGATTCATGACTAATTTACTTCTTGAATACGACAGGATAATCTGTGCTGATCTTTATTTTATTTTGTAATAATTTTCTCGTAACTGTTTACGGGGTCCCAGTGGGTTAATGGTATACGAGCTCGCCTTGCAACCAGAAGGTCCTTGGTTCGAACCCCGGTGAGTACATACAGATGAAGAGGTCCAAACTAGGACGAAACAGTTGTCTTTGTGAGTCGGTGGCACAGCGGTTAGGACGCTCGCCAACCATGAACATCGTCCGGGGTCCGATCCCCGACTGACAAACTACCAAACCTCGCTAAGCCAGAAATAATGCTGGTAAAGAGAAAAGGTTGGGCATGAGGCTAGCAAGCGCATCCTGTAAAATAAACACTGCTACAGAGACTTCAAGCCACTAGCTTGAAGCCCTATGTTCCACTGGGAACGAAAAGGAAAAAACTGCTTACAACCTAAACTATACCAGTATGTACACAGTACAAAGAATACCGTGTAGTTTTATCAAGTTGGAAAGATACGTCGCATCAGGCATAATGCTGATAGCTAAACCAGACGAAATTGTTGGTAGACTTAACTATTTAGAAGACAATTTAGCGAATATTCTTGGTTAGACAGTTTAATATAACTGCAAAATATTTTACTGAAATCTCAAGAGCCTATCGAGTATTAAGATGAGCAACGTTCAGATCAAAATAAGGCCCTAAAACGTGATAAAATATATATGAAAGACTAAGAGAAGTAATAAAACTCAAAGGCCTAGTATGAAGTTGACAGGTATCCATATTTGAGTATACGCGTTCGGCTTAAACCTTTTGATGGCAGTTGCTTTAACAGAACTCAATAGATTATACTTCTGTTTGTTGATTGATTTGAGCAATTTGCGTTTGTCCGTATTACGTCCAGTGAACCTTCGCTGAAATATTATCTCATTGCTTATTGCTCGTCAACAGTCTTTTCTTAGATTTTTCAGTTTATGTCGAAAAGAACGAAAAAAAGCCTTTTTTCCCGCCTTCCAATATATGGCCTTTGGTTCGTATAAGGCAAATAACTGAATGTATTGATTTCACCAATTCGATGATGATGTGAACTGGGGTTGTATATTTCTAATACACTTTAGTGAAAGCTGTTTCAATTCGTGCATTGGTAAAGGAAGTTCAGAATGTGAACATATAACTAACTTCATAGTCTTCTCCAAGGGGATCTTTTCAAATAAAGATAAAATGTCAAACGAAACCGTGAATTTAGTCGGAATGTCTAAGTTTCTTAATATTTGGACAGATCAAAGGCGGTATTTCAAACAGTTAACCTCGTACCGGTTACTTAGCTGATTATTCGGTCTGTTTGGTACGTGTGACTGACTTCTAACTGGCAATCAGCAGAAATGTTTCCCTCAGTTGCTCTGATAACTTTTTTTGCTGAATTTTTTTTACTTTACTTCAGTTGTATTCGTCTGAAAACATTCTATTTACCTCAGTCTCGGTATTGAAATTTCTAAGAATTCTAAACGAGATTTGCGTTTTTGTGTTATACCGATTGATAAGTCGAGTTTTTTTCCTTCACGTTCCCAGTGGAACATAGGGCTTCAAGCTAGTGGCTTGAAGTCTCTGTAGCAGTGTTTAATTTTACAGGATGCGCTTGCTAGCCTCATGCCCAACCTTTTCTCTTTACCAGCATTATTTCTGGCTTAGCGAGGTTTGGTAGTTTGTCAGTCGGGGATCGGACCCCGGACGATGTTCATGGTTGGCGAGCGTCCTAACCACTATACCACAGACGCACGATAAGTCGAGTATTGATGTCTAATAGAACTCCAAGCATTTCACACTTTGTGGGTTATAGTGTTTTAAACAACTAGAGTAGAGCACACTATTTATCGACTTTATAGTAAAAACATCTTCAGACACTAGGATTCTTCCTTTTCTCTGTAGTATAAGACAAATTGGGAGAGTAAATTACTTGAAGCCACTGGCACTCTATCTACTCTATTACCTAATGGACAGAATAATTTCTTTTTTATGAACACTAACAACTTGCCTATAGATACAAATAGTGATCAAAGCGCGTAAGCACTTCATCCTGTTATTACAACTCTGAAAGTAAATAAGAAATCCGCTCCATATTGGCTGTCGAAATAACAACCTGAGAAAATTTCTACCCTACCAGGTTCATACTTCATTCAATCTCTGCTATTTTTTCACATCAATTTAAAATGGCATTAATATTTCTCATGAAACCACCACTCATTGTTCTAAAGTGTTTATTTTCATTTTATCTTCCATCTTGAAAGTAGTTTATATATGCATTTGATTCCAGGCTAGGTCACCACCTTCTTGTTTTCATGATACTAAATGTCAGTTTATGTTCTTTATTTGGTTGGCTAGGTGTTTGTTCTGTCACATTTTATCTAGGCGTTTACAATGCCTGATATTTTATTGATTTATTACATTTAGGTAGACTTCTATACTCTACTGATCTGTTTATTGTCTTTTATCTCATTTTCTAGTTTTCGATAGTGTTTGCATCCAAGATATAATATAATCTATGGTTTAAATTAGCATAAAAAGTTAAAGTTTGATGATGGCTACGAGGCGTTGGTTGGAAAAATCAATGGAGTGTTTTGATTAATCTTGTTCTTTTGTTGAAGAACTACACTGTAGGAGTGTGACTAAGCTCTTTGGGTTTAAGCAATTTGTTAACCCTTTGTCAAGGAGTCCTATATTCGCATCTCACTCCGCCTAATTCAGAGTGATCAACTGGTCAATCCTCGCACAGTAAGTGTGGCCAGTAGTCTAGCGCATGAGTAGTCTGTTCCGGGCAGCTGAATTCTGATACATTTTCATATGTTGAAATAAACTTGAATATTACACTTTGTCCTTTTAGCATATGATATATGTATGTGTATACACTTGCTGATCATAGATACGGTAAAGTTATGGAAAGAGAGACACTTCTAGTCTATTGCCACTGTCTACCTTATAACTTTGTGGTATGTTGCATGCTTGACACTTGATCTGTGTGGGGTAGGATTTAAGGCATTTGGACTTCTCCGTTACCATTTGGATATTTTTATGTTAATCATGAACTGTGCATACCATAATCCCAAATTGACTTTATATACTAAGTGGTTCAAGCTCCAGTCTGTCAATGAAATAATACATCAAATTTAAGCAACCTAACAGTATCATGTCATAATTCTAGAAGAATTGGTTTTCTTGAATGGAATGTCCTTTATCCCAGTATGATTACTGCTATGCCGTTTTGGGAATAACAAGATACTTGTTCAATCTAAAGGATTAAAGCAGAAGCGATTTCAGTTGTTACATTTTACGCTACTCGTTAAATTACAAGACAAAATACATAACTACCTAACATAAGCAAGTGTACCCTTTAGCAATCAAGATTCGCTAGACGGTTGCTTCATCCTAGTTTACACTTCAGTAGTCTACAAAGTAGTAGTAAGACTCGATCCTTAAACCGTTTGGTTACAAAACGAGCGCATTAGCATTCACTTAGTCGTTAGGCAGAAATTTTACAGCATCTGATTTTATGTCAATCGGAACTATTAATCATATTGGCAA